TTGTGTCGGTATTTTATACCATTTATTTCCACAGTGATAAGATTGCTGGTGTCTATTCTCTCTCTCTCATGAACACTTAATATGACAGAATCATCTTACTACTTATATCTGGTGCATACTACACATGTAGCTGTGCGTATGAATGCGTATAAACACTCACCTCAGCTTTCTTTTGTTCGCTTAATAATCATTATCCTTATAGTGTTTCATTTTATCTCAATGGGGAAGAGGGTGAGAGTTCGTCCCCGTATGTTTTGCATGTCGTAAAAGGCGACTAAAATGCAAGGGGACTAGTAACCCTTCCTGAATAAATTACTAACTAGACAGGAATTTTTTTTTTACTGTTAGGTTGCTTGAACGTGCGTGGGTGTAGTGTGGATGTGAAAAACTATTGATGCTGAATGTCCTAACTCTAAGCAAAACCAAGTCAAAGCTGTAGGAGAATTTCTGAGGAGAGGAGTACACGAGATTAAGTCAAGTGTATCTGAGAGAATTAGAGATAAGCAAAGAGTAGCGAAAATATTAAATTATCAGTTCTGTTAAGTATGAGAGGGAATATAAATAAATAAATTAAATAACTATGTGGATTAAAATAAGGGTGGGATGTGAGGAGTAGGTAATAGTGTTTATGCACCTGAGGAAGAGAAGAGTGTAGAGAAGAGAAATTTTTGGGAGATGTTCAGTAAAAGTTTAGGGAGTTTTGAACCAAATTAGAAAATAATTGTTGTGGAGGACCCTAAATGTCAGTGGGAAAAACTGTTGTAGAAGGCGCAGTAGGTAAATCAGGAAAGCTTTGTATAAAGGGGTCTGGTAACACGTACCACGTATTTGAAGAAAAATGAGGATAAATAAGAAAATGAGATACAATATAGGGTGTGATAATACCAATTTGTTAGAGTATGCATTAGTAGATACAAGGTAGATGGGTAAACTTGTGGATAAGCATGTTTTTAGAGGAGCAACAGACATATCAGACCATTACTGAGCGGTAGCTACAGTGAGAATAAGTAGATGGAGCACAAGGAGAATGTCATCAGTACGTAAGAGAGAAGTGAAAGTTTGTAAATTAAAGGAAATATTTAGGGTAAAGTATAAAGAAGAATTTGAAGAACAGTAGGCTAGAGAGGTTTTAGGTAATGAGAAGGCAGTAGAGGAGGTATGAGGTAGATTTATAGTATGCAACAGGCGTTTGTGAGTATAGTTGGGTGGTTGCAGGAGGAAAGAGGATTGGCGGAATGACGAGGTTAAAAAGGGTGATAAGGGTGAAAAAAGATGGCATATGAAAGGCTTTTGCAATGTAGAAGTGATATTCGGAAAAATGAGTATACGGAGAATAAAAGAGTGGTTATGGAGTGGAAAAGAAGTTTTATCAAAAAAAAAAAAAAAAAAAATTCACTGCAAATATGGAAAAACTTTGGAGTGAGATAAGTAATAGTTGAGAAAACATAGAAACAAATGGATTTAACAATTAAAGGAAGAACCATCAGATAGGGAAGTGAGGTACTGGAAAGATGAAGGGAATGTTTTGAGAATTGGTGAATGTTGATGAAGAAAGGAATGCAGTAATTTCTTGCATTGGGCAGGAAGGTATAACACATTTTAGGAGTAAGGAAGAACCACATGTGAGTTTGGTAGAAGTGGGTATAATGACAGGGTGTAAAGCATCTGGGGTAAACTGGATTAAGACAGAAATGTTAAAAGCAGGTGGGAATATATCTTTGAGGTGGTTGGTGTATGTGTTCAATATATATATGTAAGGGGAAAAGGTACCTCAAGATTGGAAGGGAACATGTATAGCTCTTTTGTATAATATACAGAGGAAGAAGAGTGTAAGAATTTTTGAGAAACAATCGTGTCAGGTCTACTGGGTAGAGTATATGATAGAATTTTTTTTAAAGGATCAACTGTATATAACAAAAAAAGGCACAATACCGTGACTGGAACGATACACAAATAACCCGCATCTGGTTGTCTTTGTTGTGGACGTTTCGCAATCCAGTGGCTGGCTGGATGGCGAAACGTCTACGATAGGGATGCCCGGGTGTTGCTTATGTGTCTTAATTTCATCTTGTCGGTATTATATACCATTCTTGTACTACTACTACTACTACTACCACCTCCTCTTCCTGCCTATATATAGCCGTCCTGCTCCACTTCTGGTTAGTGTGACTTTGTAAATGGTCCAAGTCGGACCGAAACGTCGTCGTAAGCTTCCCTCTTTTATGTGCGGGTTATTTGTGTATGAACTGTAAGACATAAAATAGGATTGCAGAGGAACAAGGAGGATTTGGGAAGGGTAGGGTAGAGCTCTTAGATAAGTTGAGATGTGGCTACTCTGTCTCTTAAAGGCACTGAGGTACAGCATCCTTGCATTGTGGTTATGGGATACTGGGGATACCTATCTCGGATCGCGCAGCGACTGGGATACATCTACTTTGCAAAATTCAAATTTTAGTTAATATTTGAATTTCTAAAGATACTTTGAAAATTATTATTTTTTCTTAGAGATTAGATAACTATTTCTGCTTCTAGCCTACTAGATAACGAATAAGGAAAAAAATAAATAGTTGATATTGCTTAGTATTCTCTAGCGACCCATTATCTCAAAGCAAATAACATATGAAAACAGATGTGAGAGTTTTCTGAGACAGTTGTTAACGTGAGTTAAGTCTTGCTGGTTCTCAAACTTTACCCATAAGCGTTTATATAGGTTTATGTAACGTAAGTAACGTTCAACCTATCGTAACCCAACCTAACACAGGGAACTATATAAATCGCAAGTATTATCCAGGATCATTTGATATAAAATATCTCGACCTGACGCTCTTATCCAGGTCATGGTTTTAAGAAAGTGCATTAAATACCAAAGAGGTGAGTAACATGAGTAACATGAGTAAATTTTATGTAATAATTTTTTTTGCAATGGTCTTGAGGGAACACACATGTTATAGACACAGATGAGTCACAGGGATGTTAGGAAGTATTTCTTCAGGCACAGAGTTGTTAGGAAGTGGAACAGTCTGGAGAGTGATGTAGTGGAGGCAGGATCCATACATAGCTTTAAGAAGAGGTAATATAAGGGTCATGGAGAAGGGAGAGTGGACCTAGTAACGACTAGTAAAGAGGACGAACCAGGAGCTATAAATCGACCCCTGCAACCAAAGCGAGTACATAATGAGTACATAATGAGTACATAATGAGTACATAAAAGCACATGATGTTGATTTAACCGGGGTTAACCAGGGTTAACCGGGGTTAACCAGGGTTAACCGGGGTTAACCAGGGTTTACCGGGGTTAACCAGGGTTAACCAGGGTTAACCAGGGTTAACCAGGGTTACCAGGGTTTACCGGGGTTAACCAGGGTTAACCGGGGTTAACCAGGGTTAACCGGGGTTAACCAGGGTTAACCAGGGTTAACCGGGGTTAACCAGGGTTAACCAGGGTTAACCAGGGTTAACCGGGGTTAACCAGGGTTAACCAGGGTTAACCAGGGTTACCAGGGTTAACCGGGGTTAACCAGGGTTACCAGGGTTACCAGGGTTAACCGGGGTTAACCAGGGTTAACCAGGGTTAACCAGGGTTAACCAGGGTTAACCAGGGTTTACCAGGGTTAACCAGGGTTAACCGGGGTTAACCAGGGTTAACCAGGGTTAACCAGGGTTAACCAGGGTTACCAGGGTTAACCGGGGTTAACCAGGGTTAACCAGGGTTACCAGGGTTAACCGGGGTTAACCGGGGTTAACCAGGGTTAACCAGGGTTAACCAGGGTTAACCAGGGTTAACCAGGGTTTACCAGGGTTAACCAGGGTTTACCAGGGTTACCAGGGTTAACCGGGGTTAACCGGGGTTAACCAGGGTTTACCAGGGTTAACCAGGGTTTACCAGGGTTACCAGGGTTAACCGGGGTTAACCGGGGTTAACCAGGGTTAACCAGGGTTAACCAGGGTTAACCAGGGTTTACCAGGGTTAACCAGGGTTTACCAGGGTTAACCAGGGTTTACCAGGGTTAACCGAATAAACTCAAACACTGATTTATTTCTGATCAGAAGAAACTTTCTCCTGTTATACCAACGATATCAGTGTGACCAGTTAGCAAAATTTGAAACGTGCGGCCAGCAGTTACAGCCTGGTTGATCAGACCCTAATCAGCCACGAGGCCTGGTCTCCGACCGGGGGCGTTGACCCCGAAACCAACTCCAGGTATACTTCAGGTATGCATTAGCCATTGACGGTTTATGCCATTCGCTATTTTATTTTATTTTTATCAGAGGAAAGAGCTAAACCTAAATAAGAACATAAATAAGGAACACTGCAGGAAGCCTACTGGCCCAAATAGAGGTATTACAGCGCCTGTGGAATGGGAGACATTCAAATTCGATCCAGTTGATTCAGTCCATCAGTCTTGATGGAGTGAACACATCGACTCAAGGTTGAGGGACTGATTACCTCATTCTCCTCCTGTTCTTCAAGTTTCTCCTACATATGGACTGATGAAGCCACTGTGTGGCGAAACGTTTCCTCAATAAAGATACCCAAGAGTTGCACATGTGTCTAATTTATCAACATGTCGGTTCTCTGAACCATTCATCTACAAACAACTTACTGTGTATATGACCACGTGGAAATGGAGTAGCGGTTTAAAGGGCGTTATAGGGAGGGAATGGGATAGGTGAGAAACAGCTGACTTGCCCATTATAGTTCCCCCACCTTCATTTTCCACCCTACCTCACTCCCCCACCTACTCTTCTCCACCTCCCCTACAATGCCTGCCCCCCACCTACCCTCTTCTCCCATCCAAACCCTAAGTCCTCATCGACCTTCCCCCATCTACTCTCCCAGATGTCACCCCACTTCTCCCCCTCTTGTGATTCCGTGCTGGCTAAGGTGTCCCCTCTCCCTCACCCCAACATTACCTACCTCGAACCCCTACTCCCCGCACCGCAACCCCCCACTCCTGCTCCTGGTCCTCTCCCCCCTCCTCCGCGCACATCGTACGATGTGGACGATCAATATTCCCTGTGTCTGCTGCAGTGGCTGTGTGCGCGTGGTGCTGTCTGCCTTGTGTTTACCTCGTGTTGGCTGCCTCTGCTTATTCCTGCTGAGTCTGGTAGCTGCCCCGTGCCCTGCCTGGCCCCTGCCTCCCTTCTGACGCCCCATTGCTCAACCATTAACCCGAAAACACACGTGGGTTATCAAGGAGGCAAGCTGGTCCATGCGCCATTCGTAGCGGGCCGTCAGGGCGAGTGATCTTCCCTCCTCCGTCATCACACACAGGTAAGAAAACCTATTACCGCCGGTTCTTTCGCTGCTGTGTAGTGTGATGAGGTTGTGGAGTGTGAGGGTCTGGCAGGCAGCGAGGTGGTGGAGTGCAGAACCTGCTAGTTCATTCCCAACACATGAAGCTGGCTCAGGTACCTGCCTCTTAACAGCACGCCTACCCTCACTCACTGCCCTACAGTGTTTTCTATACTTCTGTTGCACAACAGACGCATGTGTTCTCTGCAGTTCAGTAGTGATCTTGAAAATATTCCCGTAAATGTATATCAGTTTCTGCGTGTTCTAATAGTGTGGGACGGCGCATGCGTCCCTGTTACATGACGTGATTATTTTCCCTCCTCCCAGTGTATATAACAGGCCTGGCAGCGTGCAAGAGGTTACCTCTGATTTAAAATGATTCTCGGGTTATGGAAACATGTTTCTGAGTGCTTGATATATCTTAAAATTCGAGTGTTAGAACACCGGGAAATTATTGACGCTGAGCTGTCTAGCCCGTCGATCCAGTGCATTGTAGCGGGGTTCCCGGTGACCTGTAATTATAATCGATACATCGTTAAAGTTGATGTGCAAATGCTCTTCTCGGGGTTCAGACACTGATACGAGAAGAGTGCCTCACTAGTGGCACTTAAGGAGTGTTAGTGGTGCAGGTAGGGGGCAGTGAACGGTGCCAAGGACACAGTAAAGGGGTCGAGCCGGCATGACAGCCATTAAAACGTTGCTCTGACGCGTTTATCATCCTGTATGTTCTTCAAATCTCTTGCATCACATCCTAGCACACCCTGAGCTGTGTGTGCCTTGTGCACCATGGTTCCCTTCATCTAAAAGTAACTCCAGTCCTGTTGGATAGAAATTTATTTTTTGCTTGAGCTGCCGTAGATCAAACATTCCAGCTCAAGCCGGCAGATTTCCTTTGTAAAACCCATCCTGTGTTATTAAGCAATCGCGTTATATACACCTCATGTTATTTAGGCACGTTAAACATTCTTGTTCTAACCTTAAGTGTATAGTTTAGCGTAGCCACAAAATGTAACATTTACAACAAAATCTTCCGTCTGTTTCACAGGAATTTTCTCTTTCCTCTGTGTCATATACCAGGAATCCCTGGCCACGCAGTCAACCCTAATTTATTTAAGTCTTCTAACACTTCCCTCCGTTACACCTAACATTTTATATATATATATATATTTTAAGCGTCTCCGTATTTTTTTCACCCACTTCGGAGATATTCTGAGTAAAAATGTCTGTTTAAAACTCCCTCGAGACCGGTGTTTGAATAAGGTTTTATCACCCAGCAGCAGACGACATCTGGTAACGTCCGAAAAAACGTTACCAGTGATTTCTTTACCGAATTGCTGTTGTTTTTCTTTTAGTAGTTTATAAACCTTATGTGTATTCTCAAAACACACTGAAGTATTTCCACGTTTATGTTAAGCAAGTGCATTACTAAGACCAAGTCGTTGCCATCTTTTCGGAAATCCTGTGATCCTGAGCGACTGGTTCCACAATAGTCCCAGTCTGCGCACCCTGGCATTATCATGCGCCATGCAAGCAAATGTGGCCCGTAAGCTTCTGGGCAATACAGTCTAATTTTCCTTTTTTCCTATTCCATTCTTTCCTTCTCAGCTGAGAGATAGTAACGGGGCTGACGTTTCCTGAGACGCGGATGCTGGGGCTTCCTGAGATGAGATTATTCAGTGTAACATGTCTTGAAACTCGGATATATCCGCCCGCTGAGATGTATTAGACTGTTTGCCTGTGGGTTGACCTCTTGCTAGTAGGTCAGGTTAAACAGGCGTCTTGTAGGACTCTCAACCGGCTCGCAACCGAGAGGAAACAGATTCGAATTCTGGGAGAGACGTATGGTATGTCTCCTTACATCCATTGCCTCTGTTTACCAATAGGATCCAAACAGAATTAAGCAACGTTTTGCTTTCACGGGTTATCCTGGGTTAGCAAGCCTTTAAAGGTTAATTTAAGAGATATCTTTCGTCTACTTGGAGGGTGTTCGGGGGGGTCAACGCCCCCGCGGCCCGGCCCTTGACCAGGCCTCCCGGTGGATCGTGTTGGCATTTATCTTGTATCTTCATCATTATAGTTTTTATCGTAATTTTTATTTTCATTTCCCTCTTCCTTTTCTTTATCTTTGTCTTCGACTTTCCCTTCATCTTATTCACTAGCGTCAGCGTTGTTCTCTATTTCTTTCCATTCCTACGCATTCAGTGTATGAGTCAACCCTCTCATGCGCACTGCTGGACGAGCGCGCAGAGACGGAAATTCCTCATGCAGCTTACTGTATAGACGATTGTTGTACCTGTGTAGTCTTGCAGGTTATGGAGGATTGTTGTACCTGTGTAGCTGTATAGTCCCTGTGACTTAGCGCTTCTTTTTGATTATAATAATAATAATGTACCTGTGTAGTCTTGCAGGTTATGGAGGATATTTGTACCTGTGTAGTCTTGCAGGTTATGGAGGATTGTTGTACCTGTGTAGTCTTGCAGGTTATGGAGGATATTTGTACCTGTGTAGTCTTGCAGGTTATGGAGGATTGTTGTACCTGTGTAGTCTTGCAGGTTATGGAGGATAGTTATATCTGTGTAGTCTTGCAGGCTATGGAGGATAGTTATACCTGTGTAGTCTTGCAGGTTATGGAGGATAGTTGTACCTGTGCAGTCTTGCAGGTTATGGAGGATAGTTATACCTGTGTAGTCTTGCAGGTTATGGAGGATAGTTATACCTGTGTAGTCTTGCAGGTTATGGAGGATATTTGTACCTGTGTAGTCTTGCAGGTTATGGAGGATAGTTATACCTGTGTAGTCTTGCAGGTTATGGAGGATAGTTATACCTGTGTAGTCTTGCAGGTTATGGAGGATAGTTATACCTGTGTAGTCTTGCAGGTTATGGAGGATATTTGTACCTGTGTAGTCTTGCAGGTTATGGAGGATAGTTACACCTGTGCAGTCTTGCAGGTTATGGAGGATAGTTATACCTGTGTAGTCTTGCAGGTTATGGAGGATAGTTATACCTGTGTAGTCTTGCAGGTTATGGAGGATAGTTATACCTGTGTAGTCTTGCAGGTTATTGAAAATCATAAGGATCAAAGATACATCACCTGTATGTGGCTGCAGGAAGGGAGATGTCACTTCTGTTGTTTTTTCCTACTTGCTTTCGTACAAATATTTAGCAAGCTTCTCTGCGGTCACTTGCGTCTACTTGCTAACATTTATGTCTACTTATAACTGCTTTTACTTGTATTGTCTACACTTGCTGCTACTTGCACTTGTCTGTATATACTTATACAGACTTGTACTTATAATTCTTTGAATTAATTACATTTGTATTGCTTGTATTTCGTAAACTATTCAAATCTGCAAGTATGGTTTCGTAAACACGGGCGCAGTGTAAATAAATGGTTCAGAGATCCGACACGTTGACAAATTAGAGACATGTGCAACACTTTGGTATATTTGTTGTGGAAACGTTTCGCCACACAGTGACTTCATCAGTCCAATACGAAGATGAATGGTGAAAATCAGGAGTTTGAGGTAATCAGTCCCTCAGACTGGAGTCGATGTAATCAGTCCATCACTCCTGATAAGAATAAAACATATGAGTGTAGAAGGGGCTTATATTCCTCATACTGGTAGGAACAATACCTGTTACTCCTGGCTGCTCTTCCTTTCTGTGTATTAGTTTGTGTCGTATTATGCTAAAGATTTTTTTTTTTTGCAGTTGAGAATATCTGTCTATATCCCTTCGGCTAAATTACCAGTACAGTCATAACTTTAAGGTTCGTAAGAAGAGATTTATTTTTGCCCATTGTGGTAGTCGTGTCTGCATATTTTAATAGGATTTAGTTTGTTTCATTGTGTCTTAGCTAGTAAGCTAGTGCTTTCTGCCTGTTTTCCTAAGTTGACGCACATTCTCTCACCCTATTCTCAAGTAAGACCCATGAGGGTGAGTGGGGGTAGTGGAATAGAAGTGGGGGTAGTGGAAGATAAGTGGAGGGTAGTGGAAGGGTTAGAGGGGGGAGAGAGCCGGGGCTAAACCCAGCCGCGTGGCATTGTGTTAGCAGGTTGATGATGCAATGCTCTGGTCAGAGTTGCAGTTCATGACGTAGTTGGGCGTGTGTGGCTGTGGCTTGGTGGACAGGCGGCGCTGTGGGTGGGGAGGAAGGATTGGGATTGAGTTGGGTGTCCCGTAGCTCGGCTGGTAGCGCACTCAGCTCACACCATTGAGGTTCGTGGTTTGATCCCCGGTACGGGTGGAAACATTTGGATGTGTTTCCTTAAGTCACCTGCTGTCCCTTTTCACTCATCAGTATAAATGGGCACCAGGGTGTTAATCAGCTGGTGTGGGTCGAATCCTGGGGACAAAAATGAACCTAATTTTCCCCAAATGCTCTGCATAACAAGAAGGGCTTCGTATATAATATTATGTCATTGATGTCAGCTAGGCCTGTATACCTTGTACATGTACTTGTAGAAATATATTATTAGTAGTATTATGCATGTTACCAATTTGCTTTGAAAATCCACGATCAATATGTTTTTGAAATTTTCTCTGCATACTTCTGTCACCCAGACTAACGTCTCATAGTTTTTCAGTGTCATGTCTATTACTCTAGTTCCTCAGGGTTTCTCACCTTGTGTGTTTCGCTAAAACTAATTCTAATTCTCAGCTTATAAATTCTCTCTGATTCACGTGACCCATTTTTATAGGTGATTTTTAAGATGTGATCACTCCTCTCTCTCTCTCCCTCCCTCCCTCTCTCTCTCTCCTTCCCTCCCCCCCCTCTCTCTCTCTCTCTCTCTCTCTCTCTCCCCCTCCCTCTCTCTCTCTCTCTCTCTCCCTCCCTCTCTCTCTCTCTAACTCTCCCTCTCTCTCTCTCTCTCTCTCTCTCTCTCTCTCTCTCTCTCTCTCTCTCTCTCTGTCGCTTTATGATTTTCACTTGGTAAAAATCTTCATATGCTAACGTTTCTCCCTTACCATCGTATTTT